TATTTTTAGGACTTCCTCGTTCGTTAGTTTTTCTGTCCAGCTTATACTTTCCATTCTACTCCATGTCCACATTTCGAATGCCTCAAGCAATATTAATATTAGTTAAATAAAATTAATGGTAGATGAATTAAACACAACAATTCCAATCTGCTAACTAGAACTAAGAGATATTTAATAAGAAAGGATTTTTGCAAATTACAATTTAAAAGAATATTGGAGTTAACAGAACACCGACACCACCACGTGCAAAGTCGCGGACTAATTTCATAAATTTCCAGATAAAATTTGTATTTTTTTTTGTATAATCATCATATCAATTAATCATCACATAAAATTAAAATAAAAAAAAAATATCAGCCCTTAACCGTCCATTGGTGAAAATAAGCCTCCCCTGGGGGGGTTTTGCCAGTAGATGTCACGCTTGGTAGGCGGTATAGCAAGCGCGTTTTGTTTAATGGGTGATAATGAAATGGTAACCCCACCCGCGCTATCGGTATACATCGGCGGGGCACCAGTGAAGAACGATACGTGAGGATGAAGCAGGTCAGTTAGTCCATCGTGACGAATTCAACAAGAATTGTTCACGATGGTTTCTAGGGGGGAAGCACGTGGAGGTCGACCTAATAGGGCATATTGCTAGCAATGGGGCTGTCAATCTTCTGGTAATCGCGTGAGGCTTTGGAGATGTTTAAGGGGGACACTGCTGCCTATCTCTCGATCATTAAGTGTCCTTAGTCGCCTCTTACGACACTCACGGGAAAGGAAAGGGTGGCCTATTCTATGCGGGGACCACACGGCGTGTACTTTTGTATAAAATACATATTTTACTATGGAACCCTAAATTACAATTATAGAGCGCTTGTAAACAAATCTAAAGCAAGCAAATGTTTGTCAAATCTTATCTTACAAATCGAAACCGGTTTCGCTAATAGACAAAAAGATCATTTACGTCCAACATCAAAATCATTCCTTATTCCAAATATAACATAACTCAAAATTGAATAACCAATAATTCTTAATGTTTAAGGTTCTCTAGGTTAAGTTTACGGGTTACGATCAATTCAAATTGTACGTTTGAAACTGTTAACTATTATGGTTATCTAATAACACAGTTTTGTCAATTTACCGTGAAGTAGTAAAGCGCGCGCTCGTTGTTTCGCTCTGAAGCGTAAGGCAATGGTGGGAGTACAATGCTGGCCGTCACAGGCGCCTTAATTTTAATTTTAAATTAAGCACCCTGTCATGTATTTTGTATATAATGGAAATTGCTCCATGTTAGTAATTTTTTGATGCTACTTAGAATGACAAACTAGTTGACGGTCTACCTGATGGAAAGCGGTAACCGTCGCCTATAGACATGAGCAGTACCATGCACATAACAGAGTATACTTTAGTGATGTTTCAAAAGGGACGCTGCAGGGGGAAAGGGATTGTTAGTAATGGAGACTGAGAATCCCATTGCTAGCAATATACCCAACCAGGTCGACCTCCTCGCGGTTCCCCTGGAAACTATCATGGTTAATTCCTGATGAATTCATCATGATGGGCTAACTGGCCTGTTTTCATTTTCATCTATCACCCTTCACTGGTGCTCCGCCAGCGTATCCCGTAAGCGCAGGCGGGGTTACCATACCATTATCAGCCATAAAAAAAGGGACGCTGCTGCCTATCCCATGCCCTCCCTTAGTCGCCTCTCACAATATCCACAGGAAAGTAAGGGATGGCCTATTCTATGCTGGGACTGTACGGTAATCATTAGATACTTTCAGACCAAAAAAAAAAATTGGTCAAATCGGTTTATAACTGAAGCAGGTATGAGGTAACAAACGTAAACAAAAAAAAACAAATTGAGAATGTATTTCTTTTTGGAAGTGGTTGAAAAAGCTAAACCCTCAGATAAGACACACGCCTGCCTTTCTCAATCCAAAATATTATACTGTGACACCATCCAATTGAACCTGGGACCGCAGACACGCAACATTAACTATTAGAACACGGCGTAAGGCCGCGTACACATATAACTGCTTATAATTATACGTATTTGTAAGGAATTTAACGAAGAAATCAACCTCGGCAAAATGGTTAACTGCTGTGTGTGGTTTAAAGAAAGGCGAATGGCGATTTGATTTGGTTTCGACCGACTTCGAAAAGAAGGAGGTTTTTAATTCGGTTGTATATGTGTATGTGTGTGTGTGTGTGTGTAATAATATATATATATATATATATACTAGCTGACTCGGCAAACGTTGTTTTACCATATACATTATTTTTAGAACTAGGTATACATGAAAATTTATCCTACTACAATTATTATATTGGATTGCCATCTTGCAACCCTATTGCAGCATATAAAAATTGCGTTTAAAAAACAGGAGTTGACCGTAAAACGGTGAAAATTTGAGGTTGTATGTATTTTTCAATGCTAAATCATAATAAAAAAAAAAATAAACAAATTGCAAAAAAAATTTAAGGGAAAAATTTGTCAAAAATAAAAAAAAAATTTTTGGTGAGAGTCATTCACCACCAGTCACCCTTATCATTGAGGGGTATGAAAAATAGATGTTGGCCGATTCTCAGACCTACCCAATACGCACACAAAATTTCATAAAAGTCGATAAAGCCCTTTCGGAGGAGTTTGGTAACAAACACCGCGACACGAGAATATTATATATTAGATATACAATCGTCCGCTAAAGTTCATAACACGGACTAGAAATAAACGGATAATGTTGCAATTATGAGTAAAAATTGCATACTACGAATACGCATTATCAAATATGCAACTGTAGGTATGTGTGTACATCTGTGTTAGTAGGTCGTATAATTATCAATTTCAAAAAGAAGTAAGTTCTCAATTCGTCTGTGTCTTGTTTTCGGTGCGATATCTCCGTCAATTATTATCTATCGATTATAATGAGTCTTTTTACAATCAATAAGGTTTATATTCCTCTTGGTGCTGTACAAAATTTATTTCGATCGAAACGGATTCTTATGTGGAACAAAATTTTTAAATGTGAATACAAGATTGCGTGTAATTGTGGCAAAACCAGTTATTTTGATGTAAAAACTAAACTACTGGACGAATTTTGATAAAAATTCTATAAAACCGATTTGTAAGTATAGTTAGTTAGACATATGCTATCGCGGACTTATTTAATAATAACAATAATAAATAAATTTATTTCTTTATACATTACAGGGTTTGGTATCTCCTGTTAAGCAAACATTGCTTGTGTTAGAAGAAACCGCTCTTTCATAACAATAATAAAATTTCATAATCATTACCATTTACTTTTTTTTTTTATCAGCATTAATTATTTTCTTTTATACAATAATACTAAAAAATTTAAGTATATACTTTCAGATAAAAAAAGAATTTTCCAAATCGGTTCAGAAATGACGGAGTTATGAGGTAACAAACATAGATAACTCTTTATTGTTTCCTCCAAAAGATTACAATAGTAAACTTATTATAAATATAAACAATTACAAGAAATAATCACAGTGAGAAAACAATGGGCGACCTTATCGCTAAGAGCGATTTCTTCCAGGCAACCTTTGGATGGAGAGGAGTAATTATAAATACCTAATATAAATAATAAAATATAAAAAAAAATAACCGTATCGAGAATCTCCTTGTTTTCGAATTCGATTGAAAACTGCAGCACATTGTAATAGAACCCGACGGTCGAAGGTTGGAAGCCGATACGGTAACCGAGGAACCAACAGGGTCAAGGTACTTATCATCATTGTTATGTACCTAACCTAACTTAGTTTTTTTGTCACTAGTTTTTATAAAATATTCAAGAAATAAATTTGCAATAAGTTTATGCATTATAGGCATCCGACTAGAAACTGTAAATTATAAAATAGAAAAAAAAAAATCAGAAAATACTATTAAACTATTTTGTTGATGTTTTCTTATGAAGTCTTAATTAGATGTCAAAATAATAATTTTAAAAAATTTTGTCTGTCTGCATGTTTGCTCCGGCATTACGCAAAAATTACTGCATCAAATTGGATGTAATTCTCACAGTTGTGTTCCTCAAGGTTCCTTAAATTTTTTTACGCTACTTAGAATGGCAAACAAGCTGATGGCTTACCTATAGACACGAGCAGTACCATGGACATAAAAGAGCGTACTGTTTCGCTCATGATACTCCCTCATGCGTTGCCATTCCTGAGGACTCAGGTGTTATTCCTCTGTACCCTGTAAATTCACTGCCATATTCTACCCTTCAAACCGAAACACAGCCATGCAAACACAACTGCTTCACAGTAGAAACACGAATGGGACAGAGGTACCCAAGCAAACGAGTTATGTACAAAGTCTCCCTCTAGTAAAATCTGGCATATGCTTTATCTTGATACATCATCTAGAAGTCTATTATTTAAATATAAGTTTACTTGAATAGAAAAATTGCTTTCTTTCTGGTTATCCTATTTTTTAAATCCACGCCTGGGAAGTAGCAGGCAAAAATATATATCACTATATAGTATAAAATAAAGTCAATATATATATATATATATATATATATATATATATATATATATATATATATATATATATATATATAATACATGTACAATATTGTAGAGAAACACTGACAAATTTAGAAGTTTCTAATGTGATGTCGACGACATTGTCGTAAATAAACGCATTTTTTAGCATTTCACCCGTGAGAAGCTGGGCGGGCTGCTTGTATAAATATATATATTTATTTATTTCTTATTGCATTCCATAATATAATTAGTGGGATTAGGACCCTGTTGGGTACAGCAAGTAGGAGAGAGGAGGACAACACTTTTTTCACTTTAGAAATAGTCCAAGGATCTGTTACAATATTATCCAGTCATTGAAATTGTATCACGATAGGTACGTATTTTCTTATTATTATTATTCAATATTTAATATATATATATATATATATATATATATATATATATATATATATATATATATATATATATATATATATATATGTTCTATATGGACTTACCGCGATTAATTTTGCCTTGTTGCGATATCAGCATGTTCAGTGGTATCTGTTTGTCGCCAGAGAGCCGCGGCAGGCCGAACAGCCTGTTCCGGGCCGACTGACCCACCGCCAAGTACTGCTTGTGTCCCATTGTCATGGTGTCGACGTACCCTTGTCTTCATCCGGTTGGAATTTTGTTGGATCTGTGAAAAGGGAAAAAAAGTATTTAATAATAATAATAACTCTCGAGGGTGTTTTTGGTGGATGTTACCATACCGCATGCCGAGAACCTCGTGAAAACCTAAATCGAGAAAAAGAAAAATATCTCGACTTGTTTCACGAGGTGACCGAAATGTGAGGGGTGGCGTCCACCGAAATCATTCCAATCGTTTTGTCGGTGAACGGTCTTATCCCAACTAGTCTGGAACAACATCTCAGACGGTTGGGATTCCGAGGCGGCTCACTCCCGAGAAAGATGCAGAAAGCGGTACTCTTAGATTCTGCTCGCATTGTACGCCGGTTTCTCTCCCTGGGGCCCTGAACCGCGGCCGACTATGCTTCTACCGGGGGTTAGTTTGCCATCTCCTCTCCTTAAGAGGGGAAATGTGATTTTTTTGTAAAAGTTAAAGAAAATAACAATAACTGTCTTTGTTCAATGATAAATTACATTTGGTTAAATGTACTAGCCATCGAATTAGATCGAGACTGTATCCCAATGGATAGTTGAATAATTTCCTTTGACCTAAATATTTATAAAAGACTTTACAATATCTAATATAAACACACTAAAATTTGTTTTTTTTTATACGACTTAGAATGGCAAACAAGCTGACAGCCCACCTGATGGAAAGTGATAACCATCGCCTATAGACATAAGCAATACCATGGACATAACAGAGTATACTGTTTCGCCCATGATACCCCCCATGCGTTGCCATTCCTGAGGACTCAGGTGTTATTCCTCCGTACCCAGTAAATTCACGCCATATCCCACCCTTCAAACCGAAACACAGTCATGCAAACACAATTGCTTTACGGTTGAAACACGAATGAGACAGAGGTACCCAAGTAATCGACTTTTGTACAAAGTCTCCCTCTGGTGATATGAGATATCTTAAACCACAGTATATTGTAAAAATAACACATAGGATATGGGGAAGCACAAAAGATCCCATTGGGTCGACGTGCAACGGCTTAACTGAGCCCATTATGCGAATAAATGATAATATAAGAAATTTCCTTTATTAACTTCCATTCGACTCATGTATGCACGACTTATCCAATCATGATAATTTGAATTAGGTCGTTCGTAGTTCAACTTTAAATTTTTTAACAGTTTCGTCATCTTTCCATCCGACATGTTTCCACATATCCGAACTATTATAGTATGCTTCTACCTTTAATACTTACGTTTTCAATACAAGGTAGATATATAGATACTCTTTATTGTTTCCTCCAAGATATATCATTTAGTTAATTTTTAACAAAGCCATATAAAAATAAATCTACAATAATACCTATATTTTCAACTTTAGGGCTTTGAATTTTGATTAGATAGATAGATAGATACTCTTTATTGTTTCCTCCAAAAGATTACAATAGTAAACTTGTTATAAATATAAATAATTACAAGAAATAATCACAATGAGAAAACAATGGGCGACGTTACATAAGAGCGATCTCTTGCGCAACCTTTGGATGGAGATAGTAATTATAAACGTTGTCATTCCTGAGGACTCAGGTATTATTACTCTGTAAATATATTTGTTTATTCATTCAAACACAACTGCTTCATGTTGAAACACATATAATAATATAAATATTATTATATGTATCACACAAACGAATTATTGTCATACATTATATATATATTATATATTTAAATAAATTTATTGATCAAAAGGAAATAAGATACAAAAGGCGGACTTAATGCTAGTAGCATTCTCTACCAGTCAACCTTTGGGATGAACAGTGAATCACGAACGCGGTACTTCATTATTGAGATAGGAAAATTACAATAGAAATTAAAACATTATTATATATTTATTATTTCATACCGTTTATTGTAACTAAATTATGTTAAAATTATCACAGAAATATGATTTAAATGAATTTAAACTCAGTTCTAAAATAATAATATCAAATAATCTTAAAACTGTTTGTGCTAATAGTACCGAAATATAGGAGGCAGTAAATATTTACTGGCCACACAAACACACGTAGGCCTAACCTCAGGGTCAATCTTTGATTACTTTGTCTGAATTTGTTTCGTAATTTAAACAACTTTACGACTGATAACTTACAGCAACTAGTGGTGTTTATGATTTATTTGTAATTGAGGATTGATGGTTCAATTGCTTAAAATATACCCTATCAGGTTGACTTCCACTTGGTTCCTCTTGGAAACCATCAAAATGGTTCCTAGTGAACTATTCACGATGGGCCGACTGACTTGATTTCATTTTTGACGATAGCATAGGTGAGGTTAGCTACTAAATATTATATTTTTATTCTATTGAAAAGAATTATGAATGAATGAATGAATGAATGAATGAATGAATGAATGAATGAATGAATGAATGAATGAATGAATGAATGAATGAATGAATGAATGAATGAATGAATGAATGAATGAATGAATGAATGAATGAAAGAATGAATGAATGGATGAATGATTGAATAAATGATTGAATGAATGAATGAACCCTTCTTACTTTTCTCTTCAAATAATCAGAGGGCCTACCATGAAATGTTTTCCGAAACTTCGGAGCCAAACGAAACACAAATTTGATGTTAAAATTACATAATAAATGCCGTTTGGAAATAATAAAAATGTTAAAATATTGTTCCTTTGGACTTTTTTGATAGGATGTATGACGAACGAAATGTTAAACTCCATTTATTGATCCGATTTTAGTATAAACAAAAACATGAAATTAAGTCCGAAATTTCGGAATTTCATTTCATGGTAGACCCGCAGATTAAAAAAGATAGGTTTTTTTTTTATTAAAAGTGACCTTAAAGTGTTTAATATAATTTTCAAAGAAACCACATTAATTTTATAGAAAGTAATTATTACTCTATAAAACGCTGTATGGCCGACAAATGTTACACAAGCCCTTGACTGCCTTGCTCAAGGTTTAAACATAATGAATATACATTATATTATAATTTTTAAGTTTACATAGATAAGAGAGTAAGAAAGAAGGAAAAATATTTTTAGTTATTTCAACACCTATTTACTATAAAGTACTAGGATAGCAGACACATGCAGGAGGTGATTTCAGGATGCAAACAAAAATGTTTAAAGAGTGTACAGATCATTTATTCAAACTACAATGTTTATTATCTCTCCAGCGTGGCTATGATTTCCTAGTACTTTATAGAACATAACACAATTATTTGTTACCGAATGGCTCATCAGCTTGTTCTCATTCTCCAAATACTACCTTGTTTTGTTTGCATCTACCGATGTAACGTTGGCATTAACAGGCAATTAAATACGAATAAAAAAGGAATAAGATTAGAGACGTGAAAGTATCAAAAATAACTGTGCGTCTCGTTACCTAACTGGTGTTTAACCGATTTTTTAACCATTCGGTGCATGACGGCAGCCTCTGTTATCGTAATTTGATTTAACCTTAGATTTTATGTTGAATCCAAGGGTATCTTGTAAAATAATGTACGATTAGGATCATACTAAAATTACCTTCGTTATGTTACTACAGTTCTGTATAAGTTTCTTGTGCCTCATTTATACCTCTGTCCCATTCGTGTTTCGACCGTGAAGCAGTTGTGTTCGCATGGCTGTGTTTCGGTTTGAAAGGTGGGATATGGCGTGAATTTACTGGGTACAGAGGAATAACACCCGAGTCCTCAGGAGTGGCAACACATGGGGGGTAACATGGGCGAAACAGTATACTCTGTTATGTCCGTGGTACTGCTCATGTCTATAGGCGACGGTTATCACTTTCCATCAGGTGGGCCGTCAGCTTGTTTGCCATTTTAAGTTGTAAAAAAAAAAATTATCAAGAGCTATTTTTTACTTATAATTAGAATGGCCCAGCTTTTCCTTTCCCCTGGATGTTGTAAAAAGTGACTAAGGGATTTTTAATGGCCGGGGGATTGGCAGCGTCCCTCTTAAAATATCACTAAAGCCTAACTGCGGTTGCCAACCCGCCTGCCAAGCGTGGCAATTACTGGCAAAATCCTCTAAATATGGTCTATTACTTTTATTGATTTTAGATCAGGCCAATTTAGTAAATGAAATTTTATGAGTTGGCTCGAGTCTGGATGTCTTGGGTTGTATTCCCAGGTAGTCACCACTAGGTTCCTCGTATAGGGTAGCTTAGCTTGAGGAGCAATTACTGTAATCATATGATATTTATTGCACTACAGTTAGACTAATATATGGCTTTTTTAACGAGCGAAAATGATGTTTGTTCCGGTATTACGCAAAAACTTCTGCACCAAATTGCTTGCACAGTTGTGTTTCTAAAGATCTAATTTAAACATTGATGTATAACACGTCTTTTAAAAGTGCACTATTTAATTGTTTTTTTCTATTCCTGTAAATGCGCATGAAGTAATGAGAAAAAGGTAGTAAATAGTCCATTATAAAATAGATAGATAGATAATTTATTTACATTACTTACAGCATACAAATTACAATAAAAACATACACATAATACACAGTAAAGGAGATAAAAGAATGAAAATTAAAAAGCAACAAAACAAACCAAAAAAAAAAAACAAAAAGCAAAATATATAAAACAACAATTTCCTTTCTTTCCTTTCCTCCATGTGGGTGCCATAGTGACACAAAATGGTCACAACTCAGTTTATTGCTTTGCCCTTAAAAGAGCAAAACACTGATATTCTGTTGTAGCCAAGTGTCAGTCGCGAAATTCCTTAAAAAATAATAAATAAATAATTGTAATCCTACTATGCGACTTCACAAAATATATACACTTCTGTGAATGAAACAGCTAAATGTGAATGTGTGAATGTGAAAAAGACTCTATTTTCCGCGCTTAGCCTCTCATTTGGGCCGTTGTGCGTATGAGTCGTGGCTAGTACAGCCAACCTAGCTCCGCCCAGAAGCGCAGAAGCTTCCTAGTATCTTCACAGGCTTCACGGAGCGACCTCACCGTTCCGAGGATTTCTAAACGTTGATGGGCCACAGCCTCACATTCCAGGATTA